AAGACCCCCAGGCCTGATGACACAACCAGGTCTTGAGGGACTTCCTAAATGACAGCAGGGACAGGGTGAGCCTAACTTCAGGGGGGAGAATGTTCCACAAGGAGGGAGCTGCAACAGAGAAGGCCTGCCTCCTGGGACCCACCAAATGCAAGTCCTTGGCTGATGGAATGCGTAGCACATCTTCCCTGCTGGATCTGATGGGACCAGCAGATGTAATCGGGGAGCGGCGGTATAACAGTATTAGCTACAGTAGTACTAATGTTATTTGTTTAAGCAATCTCTAGACTGACTTTCAGAAAGAATCAAATCCTTGAAGCTTTGAAAATTACTTCATATTAGTTGAATTTTTATATTCTAAATTATTCTGCATGCTTAAAACAAAAGCAGCCAGCAAGTGACTGACTCTCCCCTGTGAAATACTTACCCTCTTTTTACTTTTGTAAAGTCAAAAGCTACTTGTCTGTAGGAAACTGCTTTCTCATTCAAGTATCTGCTATATCTCCTAATAAATGTGGACATGTCATACCCTAAAGAAAGCAATCAGAAAGCAAGTTAATTCCCTATTTTATATGAAACCATATTAATATTAAAAGGGTACATTATCACATTCAAAGGATCACCAACTGGTTAATTTAGGTTATGTATCTGAATCAGTGAAATAATTAAACAGCACATATATTTTGCTAAGAACCACTTCAGACATTATGCCTTGAGTTCCCCCATCCTACCCCCACTCCCATTTTGCTTATCTAAGCCAAAGCTGGAAACAGTAGTATCAGCTTACAGGCAGTCCTCATGTAACGACCACAATAGGGACCAGAAAATTCAAGTGAGGCATCACGTGACCGCACCCAATTTTTCGACATTTTTGTGGCAGTTATTAAGTGAATCACGTGGTTGTTAATTGAATCACATGGTTCCCCAATGATTTTGCTTGCTGGAAGCTGGATGGGAAGGTCACAAATGGCGATCACATGACCCCAGGAGGCTACAACTGTCATAAGTGCGAGCTGGTTGCCAAGCACCCAGATCACGATCATATGACCACGGGGGCACTGTGAAGTCGTAAGTGCGAGGACTGGTCATAAGTCACTTTTTTTCCAGCACCACTGTAACTTCAAACGGCCCCTAAATGAATGGTTGTTAACTGAGGATTACTTGTATCGATTAGCTTGAATAAAACTGCAACAGAAAGTCTTTGCCATTTCCTTTCCCCTTCTCAATGCATCTTGTAAAGCAGCAAATATCAGTGATTTGGAGGTACAACAGCTTTCCTTCTCCACACCGCTGCCTTTATCTAAAAGTATAGTATTTGCCCTCAATCCTTTTCTTTTTCTATTCAACCTCCAAGCTCTCACAGCATCTGTCTCCTACCTTTTTATTACTTTGTAAGCAACTTAAGGAGGCTCATTTTTGAACCACTTTATGAATTATTTATTTTGATTTATATTCTGTTTTTCTATTCAAGCAAGCACTCACGGCTGCTAATAATGTAAAAAAACATCTGTAAATATAAACATTCTTCACAGAAAAAAGGGGCTTTTAGTTTCTACTATAGTGCAACTCAGCTTCCTCTGCTAGAGCGTTTCATTGGACGTAAGACACAAAAGGCTGAGAACGAATACTGTAAATAAGAAAATTTAGAAAGTTATGGATTATTTGACATAGATCAAATAATTTACCTTGCAATCCACTTTTGTCCAAGAAATTACTCAAGTTAAACAATGTGTTTCTGGAAGCCAGATACTGGGTAAAACGCTGGAAGGAATAAAATGACTCAGTTATTCAGCTGGAGTTATACATAGCTCAATGTATTTCTCATTTCTCATTGTCAGTGGAGATTTAACATCCTGATAATCCAGCATATAACTGTAGCCTGTACATCAGGTTAGAGAAGACTATTGTAAGTAATTCCTACCACTATACCAATGTTGAAAGTATCCTGAGTTGTGCATGAATTATAGGGCAATCAGAGAAGTAAATGCTTATTTTCCCCCCTTTGGACAAGTGAAGAACAGTTGCTATAGTGATCTTGATATAAAAGAGAATCCATGTGTTCTTCAGATGGCAGCAAATTTGGTGAACCAACAGAGGTCTCTAGAAATGAATATTAGGAGAAGAACTGCCAGTCTGCAATCCCATAAAAAGTGATATCAATTGCAAATCTTGTCAGAGTAACTAAAACATTCTCTAAAAGTAAGAGACACAGCCAATTTGCTTTAAAAACTTGATCATTTCACCATTGGTCTACTCAGAACAATGCAGAGGATTGTATGCAGTTAAGGCAAGCCACCTTAGTCATTTAATCAGTCACAATTTAACCATGTGGTTAATGATGCACATTTCAGATGACTCACATCTATCCCATTAATTTTTCAGTCTCGACTAGCCCACAACTTCCTGTTCCTTTACCGATAAAGTCCTCACTAATGCCAAAGACATGAATTACACAGTATAAATAAAACTATTGTAGTACTGAAACATGAGGTAAGGAACTATTTTAATAGCCCAGATATATTTCACACAATGATGTATCATCACTGTTCTGTAAACATACTTCTTTGCCCCACCCCTTTCACTACCAAGATTATATACCTGAGACACAAGTTAGTACACGCAACATTAAATAGGCAAACCAAAAAACACTGTTTCTACTCACAGAAGAGTATCATCATTGGAGCATGGCTCTACTGTTAATTGTTGCACTACTACGAAACACTAGGGAAACTGTTTTTTGTTAAAAGGAGTTAATAAACATTAAGAAAACATTCTTATTTTAGAGAATGGAAGCCAAAATTCATGGAAAGGCACAATTCATGTTACACCTCAGAAGAGATTCTGAATAGTGTGATTACAGAAGGTAAAACATTTTCATTTTGGCATTAAAAAAAGAGATTTCAGAATTCACCTCGCCTAAACTTTTTTTTACAGCAGATAAAGACTGAACCAAACATGAAAACTGAATGAAGGTAGGAATTAACTTCGAACACACTTCATAAAGTTTTATCAGTTTGGCTTTCAAGGAAGAGGGTATACTTAAATAAATATATCCTTCAGGGATAAAGAGACAATGGAACGCTCAAGAACCACAGTTCAATGTGCACGTACACAAATAAAAATACACCCTGCAGAAATACTTTAAGTCAACTGTCAACTAATTTATTAAGTTTAGAGAATTTACTTTACAGTACAGGGAGGGGTGGAATATATGTTTTTCTCAACTGAATCTGTATATAATCATATACATGATTAATATGTATGGTCGCCTTTCTATTATATATGATGTCCCTAAATCCATATGTCTTTAGAAATTATGAATGAGCAATTTTTAAGAGTTACTTTTTTCCCTGATCCCTGTTTTATTTACTATGGTTTAATCATACAATAATTAACAAGTATCATTTAAAATACAATGTACTTCAGAATGCTTTTTGTTTGGAAACTACGAGACTTAGCACCTTTAAATTAGTGTGCAAATACACTGCTATACCAAAGTATACCAATCTTGTTTTGTATATAAATTGGATTAAGAGATACACTTTGGTATTTTGTTCTTAAACATGTATTTGCTAGCCCTTTCTTTATATTTTCAATTGTTTTTGAGCTATCTTTCTTCTCCCTAATGGAAAAGAAAGCCACCATGGAGAAAGAAGAAAACCCCACATGTATCTCTAAAGCAGTTCTCCCCAGCCTAGCTACTGGCCACAATTGCTGGTAATTATAGGAAACGGAGTCCAGCGTGTTTCACGGCACCAAGTGAAGAAGTATAAGAGAAGCAGGTGTTACCTCATTTCCATACACCATTAGATGGTGAGTTGTGATGAGAGATTTGAACACTACCACCCAGCTACTGTTTGTTGTCCTTTCGAATAGGCTGTCTGCCAACTGTGGGATATTTACGTTCATGTCATTTGTACACAGTATTAAATCTGAAAAAGAAGGAAATGCATATTGATATTTCAAGCAAATGCTACCAGGTTCCATTCAATGAAGAAAAGCTGCTTATTTTTCTAGGGTCCTATGTGCTGCTGAGAAGGGTACAACTAGAACTAACTGTGCCTCTTCTATAGAATACACTCCAGATCCTACGCAAAAGAATTCCTCTACAATCCTCTACAAATTCCTCTACAAAAGAAATCCTCTACAATTCCTCCTCTAAAAAAGACTGCTTGAAGAAGCATTCAGTTTACATTTTTCTAAACTAAGGAGTCTGCAAAACAATGAACTAAGACATTCAAGAAATAAATAATTTATTGCCATGTTTAGAAAAACGGTACTGCAATGGGAGGAAGACAAAAATTAAGTAAAATCATGAACTGTATTGCTCTGATAATTTTTACAGGTAAATTAAACTCCTGGTGAAATTCACAGGAAAATAGGTTTAAAACCAACAAGAAGTAGATAATTATCTTCACAAAATTTCTTAACACCTTCTTAAAAGGGTATTTTAAATTTATACAAACAAAAGACAGCATTAGACACTTAACATCTATTATGATAAGATCTATCATGACATTGCTTAAAAGTGAATATTGATAAAAGTGAATTATTTTCATTTCCAAAAGCTCAGACTTTAGAGAAGTCCATGGTTGAAAGCAGAGGATTTGTCAGGCCCAGCCCAAGAAACAATGGTGAAACAGTCCAGTTGAGTTAAGTTCCTTTATTTGCTTCCACCATATAGACAAAATCTTGCCAGACTAAATCTGTACTACTGCAACTGGGAGATTCTAGGGAGTGGCTATCCTGAACCTCTTATGCTTCCCACGCTCCTCCTGTGGACTGTGTTGTCTTCTGTCTCCTTTCCCTTCCTGGTGGCCTTGCTCTGTTGCTATCCCCCACATCACCCTCCTTTTCGTAGATACATTCCATCACAGAATTTCAATTACAAGAAGTTAAAAGAATCAGATTATCTGATCACCTATGGAACTGTCTTCATGTAGGCCTAATGAGGCAATCACCTTTTAAGACCTTCTTAGCAACTTAATGAGAGCTAGTTTGGTGTAGCAGTTAAGGCATCAGGCTAGAAACCGGGAGACCATGAGTTTTAGTGCCACCTAGGCACAAAGCCAACTGGGTGACCTTGGGCCAGTCTCTCTCTCTAAGCCCTAGGAAAGAGGCAATGGCAAACCACTTCTGAAAAACCTTGCCAAGAAAACTGCAGGCACTAGTCCAGGCAGTCTCCAAGAATCAGACACAACTGAACAAATTAAAACAAAAAAAGCAACTTGATAGTTAATAAAACAAGTTTGTGGCCTTCTGTCAGCACCTCCTTAATTTAAACATGTATCATTCTGGTACCATGTGGCTTCCATGCAAGCCCAAAAAACTTCAAGGCTACCTTAAGGAAGTGCAGACGGATACAGCAAATCACATCCACACCCGCTGCAAAATGCTTCTCTGCTTCAGACCCTAATAACTGTACTGGCCTAATAATAATGCTCTAAATATTAGTCACTACTAATGAGTGAAATTGCTCAGCACTATCCGGGCTCTATTAGAATCTGCCTCCAAAAAGTAGATGAGAACAGAAAAAGCAGTCATGAACCTTGACAATTAGGAATAATTAAGCTGGTTTACACCAAGACCATTAGGAAGAATTAAGTTAGTCTGTAACAAGGTTAGAGACTTACAGCCACAGATCTACTTAAGTGATTGAGCAGGTTAAAAAATATTAAAGAAGCATTACAGTCATCTAAGACAGCTGTACTGCCAAGTTTAGTTTAATGGTTTTAATGTCAGAAAGACAGGGAGGAGGAGGAAGAAGGGTTGACAGGAAAAGGAGGAAATATGTACAAGCAACTATTTACAGGAAAACTTTAACCCTTAATATCTTATTTGGATGAAATTTCTCTTTGTGGATTATTTTTTTTTCTAGAAACAAAATATTGGAAGTATACATTGTCCCCACTTCCTGAACAAGCCCAAATGATTTCCTGCCTCCAATTCTCATGACTAAATGCTAGCTTTGGGTCCGGGTCAACTGCAACAACTTGCAGCTAATCTAGTTCTATGCACAAATGTACTGAAAAGCTTTGTTCATTTGTGGCATTTATATCCTGCCTCTTTTTCAAATACGCTCAAAGGCTAACCAAACAATAGAATCCTATTATTAAACACAATTAAACACATAAACATATTAAAACACAATGAATAAAGAGCAACATTCAGTATGTCTCACAACTTTAGCATTCATACCTGCTTCCACAAAGACTTGCCTAAATAAAAATGCTTTAATGTGCGGTTAGTTTCCAAAGAGTATTTAGATCTGGCCTTTCAGTTTTTCATCTTCTCTAGTTTAGGCCAATTTAAGAAAAGTGATTATGAAGTAAAGTTATAATTTCAATTAAACCAAACTGAAATTCATCAAATTCATTAGTTTACAATAACAGGGCTTACAATCATTCACAGCTAAAAGAACCATCACAAACTCGACATGCATTCTGACTCTGTGTCAGGACACTGCATGGATGTTCCAATTCATGGGATGTTCATAAGCAACAGTATGCTGGCTTCTAAAGGTAGTCTTTAGATTAGAGATCTTAGCCTAGATCTTAGATCTAGATTAGAAAAGCATGAGCACGCTTGTGGTAAAACCAAGGTTTGGTTGTGCTTGCTGCACACTGCCCAAAATGCACCATAATTGATGGATATTATCCTGACCAGTATCTGGGAATGCTGTGTGTGACACAGGTACGGCTAACACTGGAATCTAGTCTATACCTTTTCTGTATTACTAAAAGCATTATGTGAAAGCCTCATCTGACCAAAGCTATAATGAGCGACCACATGAGGTGGCAAAGTCAATATGTGTAAACCCATTTAATGAAAACTGTAGTATAAGGAAGACTGTCATTTGGAATGTAAGAGGGGTAAATAGTAAACAACATGAATTAAAAATGAAATGAAGTGAAATGAAATGAAAGAAAAATAGATGCATTATGTGTCTGTGAAAGTAGGAGAAAGAGAAAAGATAATAGATCTGAATGAAGACAGTCTAACAATATGGAGCGAAGTTGATGAATATATGCAAATATATGCAAGGAAATAAAAGTGTAGATTTAATTGTGATGATGTAAGCTAGGTTGTTGAAGATGGATAAAAAGTAAGAATCCATTGGCTGCTGATAGTTTTATGCTACATTGCAGTGAATGGTGATGATGGAAGAGTCAGAAATGAGTTTTGGGGGAAACTATGTGACATTATGAACAAATGAAATACAGGGGGAAAATTATGCTGTAAGGGGATGAATGGATTGGAACAGGAGTACAGAGAAAGTGTTGAAACCCACAAATGAATGGTGGCTAGTACAGTGGTACCTCGGGTTACGAACTTAATCTGTTCTGTGACTCTGGTCGCAACCTGAATTGGTGGCAACCCGAAGCAAATTATTCTTGCCAAGCCTGCTCTGC